TAGATAGATAGATAGATAGATAGATAGATAGATAGATAGATAGATAGATAGATGAAAGAGGTAGGTGATGGAGATAGATTGATAGATATACATATATGGAGAGGGTTGATTGATTGTAGCCATACATGGTAAAGGTAAATGATGCAGATATATAAGATAAAGATTGATGGGTAGAAGATAGCAATAAATAGGTAGATTGTACTGATATATGCATAAATAGATTGATAGGTAGAGATAATTTATGACAGATTGATGATAAGGTAGATAGTAGAACATAAATAAATAGTAATTAGGTAACAGACAGACTGATAGATATATGCACACATATGTACACAAAAAGGTCTTTCAAATTAAGTTCTTCCTCATATTAACTTCTCACTTTGGGATTCCAACAAACAGAAAGGAAGACATTTCAGGACAATGAGACAAAAACACTGATCTGTGATACATTTGGATACGAAGGAATCATAGCACAGTGTTCAAGACTGGGATCTCTTTTGTCTGATCTCTGGGTTTCAACCACTTTCTAAAAGCTAGAGTGAGTGATTGAAGAACATCGGTCTAGTGAGCTTGTAGAAGGGGATCATCCGAAAGTCTGAGCATGAGAAGAATGCAGAACGAGAGCACTGCCTTGTCCGTGCATCTGAAAGGAAAAGACATGTCCAGGAAACAAAAGCAGTCCACATAGCATAGCGAGTTGGTTGGGTCAGATAGGAGGAGGATTTCTAGGAAATGCCATGGTAGTTTGTTCTCTCATAGGAGAAATTGCACTAGACCAAGGAAGTTTTCCTGGTTTCTGTCCCCTTAGGTAGGTAATACGGGTAAGTAGCACAAGCTTGGAGCTGTGAGAACAGGAAAAGATTTAACACTTGCTTTCCTGTGACCTGAGTCTGTACTCAATTTCAATCTAAGAGAAATGATAAAAGTTTATTCCAGGTCTGTTCATTAAACTTGCCACAAATGTCATCTGTCATTCTATCTGTCATATATATAATCTATCTAAATATCACAGATTATCAATCTCTCCATCTATCTCAATGTCTGTGTATCTACCTATCATCTATAAACTATTTATCATATGTTTCTATCACAGACCATCTCTCTGTCCATCTATCTACTTGTGTACTATCTAGCACATCTATGTGGCATAAATCATCTCTCTATATATGTTTCCCTGACCATGTTCATTTTTGGTCTTGTTGTTTGTTTTGTAGGTACAGAGATTACAGGAACCCTCCTGATCATGAGAACAAGTATGTCCATAATATGCAGTTCTGGCATGTTCTTGCCGCCAAGATGGCCTTCATCATAGTGATGGAAGTAAGCTGACCCGGACTCTCCTCCTTCTCTTTCATCTCACCCACCTCTTTTACCATTCCCCTAAGCAACTGTTTCTAAACAGGCCTGTTATCAGAAAGTTAGCGCCCTTTTCTTTTGTTTGAAGGAATCACTTGTTGTCATAAGTTGCAACTCCACTATGGGAGCTTGATACTCACAATTGGTAAAGGCCCCTTGGCAAGAGAAAAAGAAAGGCAATGCCTGGCAAGGTTAGGAAAAGGGTGACTTATAGAGCACCTGTTCCAAAGGCTCTTTTTCGGCCACTCTCATCATCTAGCCAGCCTTTCTTTGTTTTTACTTTTGACAGATGAACCTGATATTCATCAAAATATGTCATTGGCTTAAGGTTAATTAGCTAATATCAAAGCTAGGATTTGGTGGCACATGTGGGTCAGTCCTGCTCACTGCAGGGCACTCTCTCAATGTGCAATATTTGGAAAGAAAGTTCACAAGAAAACATAACTACCACAGAGGGAGGATGGATAAATCTCATTAAAATAGGAACAAGAAAAATTAAGATGAGGTTCCCCTGTAGGAGTACCCGAGTACAACACAGGCACATGTTCAATCAGTGTTTCCTGGACTCATTACTGCTACCCAGGCTGTGTGTCTATAAAATCAGATAGTTATGTAGTTAGCAGAGAGCAGCCTTACACATTTCTCACCAGTCTCAAATCCTGGTCTCCAGAGGCAAACACATTCAACTCAGAAGCTCTTTGGTTTTGCAAGTTTTGCTGTAGTGGAACAATATTCAAACAGACACAGATTTTTATACATATTTTAGTGTTGGGCAGTAATTGTTGAACTCCTCCTGTGACATGTCACACACAGAAGCACACATGACACTGTCTTCATATAAATCATCATCTTCTTACTCCTGAAGATAATTATGAACTATGCATGTATATGTGTATATTTGATTTATAGAGCTCCATAGTTCCTCTCCTGAATACAAATTCTCATAAGGCAATCCTTTGACGCTTTATGTGTTCTTGTGTCCTTGATCTGATACCATTTCAGTTAATCAGTAGCCTTTATTCATTCCCTTAAGAGTGACTGTTGGTCAAAATTGCTACAGAAACACCAAAGGAACACTTCAGAACTTACTGGTACTTGTTTTATACTCTAAGTGATATAGTTATTGATACATAATCACTCTCAACTCTAAAATGATGCATTCTTCAGAGTTTCACCTAAGACTTTAATCGAGATTTATATACTATGACTTTATAAATATTAGTAACATTTGTTTCATGCAATATGCTCCAAAAATTTCTTTCCTTAGGTCTATGTTCTTCCCTTCCATCCTGTTCTTTCTTCCTTCTCTCTCCCTCTCTTTCCCCTCCACTCCATGAGTTTTTAATTCCTCTTAAACTAATTTCACATTTCACATAAGAGGTATAGATCACTCTTTGAGCCAGTAAACTGCATCTCATGTTCCCCTGGAGTTTGCTACCTAATTTTGAGATTCATCTTTCAGAAACTTTCAGAAGAAACATTATAGGTGGCTTGTTTTTGAGAACTTGAATGTTGAAAATTTTCTACAAATATTGCATTCATTTATTCTGAAATTGAAAGTCTGAAGTTGTTGCCATTAATTTTTAACCTTAACTTGGGCTATTTTGAAAAACATTTGCAGCACTGCTCCATTTTTCTCTAGCTGTTAAAACGGACAGGACCATCCAGTTCCCTTCCATGTTGATTTATTAAGGTTTATGTAAAGCTTTCATGGCTTGATAAGCTTGTTCACTGAATCAGACCAAAGTAAACTGAATTAGAAACGGGCCAGGTTTGGGCTGGAGAGATGGCTCAGTGGTTAGAAAAAGACCAGGTTTAATGGATGCCAGCACTCCCGGGTGGCCCTCTGGGAAAACATAGAGAGGGGAAAGGTAAACCAGAATGACCACATGTCTGTTCTCTGGGGGCAGTTTAAATAGCCTGTGGGAGTGGTCTTGACCCTCTCTGGGAAGGGGTCACCATTTGGTGGGATTTGGGGGAGGTAGAGTTTGGACTGGGGCAACTCCCAGGGGAGAGGACTTGAAATGGAGCTTTCCACCCAACATTCCAAAATGGATGCCAGGAACAGGTTGTAATGCCCCAACCAAGCATTACAGACTTCTTTTGGATAATGATGTTAGGGGCTGAGGTGACACTTCCAAACATACATTCCAGACTCCTTGGATAAAGGGGCACCAGATCAAGTCTGGCTACTTCCTGTAGGCATGGGGCAACGTGGTAGAGGAGAGAGTTGGCGGTTGGTGGACTCATGCTCAGCAAGAGGTGTAGTTGAAGAGACATGTGGTTTACTGCCATCCCAGAGACCTCAGGCATCTGTTCCTTGAGGGAGATGAGAAAACAGGTGGCTAGGAGAAAAAATATATTGTTATTATTGGCCCTATGAATGGGGCTAGCCATGGAAAGGGCTATTAACTGCCAGCAAAGATGGGACAGAGAAGTGCCCTGGTTGTACAGATAAGGCACAGGTGAATAAGTGAGACATGAGAACAGATATGCCCTTTTAAAATCAGATTTTAGTTGGTAGGTGTCCTTTTGAGCCAGGAGAGTTGGTACCAATGGTGAAGTCCCAGGAACTGGTGCAGGTGTTTGCATTAACTGGAGATCACTTTGTAACTTGGTCTTGACCCAGAGAGCAGGAGTGACCTGTAAAATATGCTTGAAAATGGGTGGGGTTAAAATATACTCTGCAGACTATTAATTTTTACCAGACCTAATTTTTGATACAGCAGCAGAACTTTTCCCAGGAACCTGCAAGTATCTGTAAGACAACTGGAACAGAAGCAATTTAGATGACAATTAAAGGGAACTGGGAGCTCTGGATCTTTGAACATACATCTAAAATGTTTTAATCCTGGTCTATGAAACTTGTGAAAGAGGAACACCTGTTTATATTCTTAGCAGCAAACTTAGCAAATGAAGTAATGAACTACAAGTACCTTAAGTCATCAAATGCCATTAGACAGATCTAAGAGGAATAAACGAGAAAAAAGAAATGAGACAGCTTTTTTAACTACATATGCATTTCCAAGTTTCTTTGTAATGTTTGGAGAATACCAGTCTTAGAAACAGTGCTAGCAATTAGATGCTGAGTCCAAGAGGCCCGGAGATTTTCCTGTGTGAGAAGGGAAATTTAGTCTACCTGTCTTGACAGGATGAGATGATTGATCCCCCAGTGTAACTGATGAGGTAGAAGGCTGATTTTTGGTGTGTGGGTGGCTTTGCCATACCCAAAGGCAAGCTTTCAGGTCTTTTGTAAGCATGCATTTTCTTGGAGGAGCTATAGGATGCTGCAGAAGCTGGCATGTCTCTGCGTTAGAAGCTCTTTGTTAAATGCCATACTCTCAGATCAATAAAGGCACTTGAGAATTGGGTACCATTACCTGTTAGTTATATTTAAATTAGACATACAAGTTAAATTTAGACATGTATTTTATACGCAATTAGTCACATCTTACCTGATGTTCTTTCTGCGGAATATGAAAGAAACCACGAGGTACAAAGGAACCCACGTGTAACTTTATTACAGGGAAGGGCGTGGTGGACCATACAAGTGGGAAACAGGAAGGAAAGAGAGAGCGAAAGTACCACGCTTTGCCTTTTAAAGGCCACCTCAGCATACGCACATCAGATGCTGCATTTTGCATCTGCTTGGGGGCTTTTGTGTTGCGTTGTGGGTGCATGTGTTTCTGGGAAATGAAGTCTTCCGAGTCAGGCAGACAATGCTGTACTCTGCGCCTGTGCACAGGGGCCTCCTGGGAAATGTAGTTTCCCAGGAGAATAACATTACCAATACTATTAAATATAAGAAGATTTAAAAGGAATATTTTAGTAAGTTAAGAATTTTGGAGGTGGAATTTTTTTTTAAGTGGGTGTAGGTCCAGTGTACATGGGTACTCTTATCTAGAATGGTGTTGAGGTCAAAATGGCAGCTACCTATGTGTTTTTATTTTTCTAGAGCTACTGTAATCTGGAGTTACAAGTTTTACAGATCTTAAAACACACGCACATACACACAGAGAAATAAGACAAGCATACTACGGAAACAAAACACATATACGCACAAAAGAATAAAAGCATAGAGTGGCCACATTATTTTAACAGAAAGAATTTTTTTTTTAGGAACCTGTGTTAGCTGACTAACTTAAAATCCTGGTGTAGGCAGGTGGCAGAAGCCAGGGAAGCACACAGGTGATTCCATTAGGGGCCAGATTAGCAGACACTGCAAGAGAGAACAGAAACACAAGGGCAGAATACCTACACAGATTTCAGAGTGGAAAGAAAGTGGGAAAATTGATCCCTTGTAGAGAACAAACAGCAAGAGAAGTGGGGGGGAGGAGCAGGAGCACAGCATCCAGAAACCATGGGCATTTGGGGCTTCTTTGTTTTACATTAGGCATTAGATAGCCTAATTTAAAAGAATTTATAGGATGCTTCTGCAGCATCCTATAGCTCCTCCAAGAAGATGCATGATTACAAAAGACCTGAACGCTTGCCTTTGGGTATAGCAAAGCTACCCAAGGGCATTTGGAGATCAGGCCTCAAATTGCAAGTATCCATTTTTGCAAGTGTATGCCCAGTCTCGGGACTCAATCCTTACCACAATGCATCCACTATAATAAGACTTTTGGGTCTAAAAACCAGAGTGATGTGAGAATTTTGTGAATGGATGTCTCCATGTCATGAAATCCCACCACAGCAAGGACTGCCTTACTGCTTTTAGTCAGGTCGGAAATCTGGTGTGACCATGACTTCAGCAGACTGCCCAGCAATGCTTAGGCCCTGGGTCCAAGGGACATGTACTTAAAAAAAAAAAAAAGAACTCACCCAAATGAAACCGATCCTAACCTGTCAGAGAGCACAGGCGAAAAGGACATTTTTCAACATGTAGCCCTGGGCCAGTGGGAAAAAACAGCCTTCCCCCCAACTACCGTGGGACCTCCAAATGTAAACTTTTTTCAGCCCAACAAGCCTCTCTGCTGAGGCAATGATCCAAATCAGACCAAATCAAAACAAATTAGAAGAAACCCAGGTTTAATGGATGCCAGGTTTCTGGGTGACCCTCAGGTAAAACACAGAGTTGGGAAAGGTGAACTGAGAAGACCACATGTTTGTTCTCTGGGGGCAATTTAAATACCTGTGGGAGTGGTCTTGACCCTCTCTGGGGAGGGGTCACCATTTGGTGGGATTTTGGAGAGGTGGAGCTTGGACTGAGGCAACTCCTAGGGGAAGGGACTTGAAATGGAGCTTTCCACCCAACATTCCAACATGGATGCCAGGAGCTGGGGTGAAGCCTCAAAACAAACATTCCAGACTTTTTTTGGATAAGGATGTTAGGGACTGAGGTGACACTTCCTATCAGTTTATTTTGGGGTTAAGTCCCTTAAACCTCTCAGGAGTTCTGAAAGATTCACTACAGCAGGCAAAAATCTGACTAATAGAATCTAAGGGTAAAAATGAAATAACTTAACTCATACAAATCTTTTCATCCTATCCCATTTCTTCTTTCTGTGCTCTCTCTAATGCCCACGTTGATCCTCGTTCCTTGCTGTTCCTGTTCTTGTTGTGCTTGCTGCTCTTCCCCCTCCCATGAGGTTTTCAGTCTATGTAACCCACACAGACATTAACAATGTTCTCAACATGCATTTCAGAATCATAACAATCAGGTAGGACCTGACAAAGCAGCATTCCAGAAAAAGGTGACATGACCCAGGAAAGGCCATCATCCAAAGGGAAATACCCAACATTCTAAAATATTAGATTAGATCACTAGATGTCCCTGAACCCTAGACAGAACCATTCCCCTCACCCCAATCTCTATTGTGATAATCAGCTTTGGAGCTGCCCAGACTTGTTTGTCAGTAAGGACAGCCATGTTGTCTTCCTTTTTGAAATTTCTATATGGTCTATTTGCAAAGGTAATTGTAGGAGATTGACCTCATGTAGATTTGATTATGAAAACAAAGACTAAATGTTATCACAGGAATGCCCCATGCAAGGTCATTCCCTTGCCAGACCACACAGGAGGAAGCTACACTGCTGAGGTATTTTGGGAATAAATCCCACTTTGAATCGGAGAAGATTCTACAGAACTGACAGTGATTGTCCAAAAGACAGGAGTTCCTGGCTCTGCGATTGTGTTCTCCATGTGGAGTCTGTACTCCCGAGGCTCTGTCTGTGGGTCTGTCAGCTGAGCATTCACTGGATAATACTATGAGCTCCAACATTAACGACCTTAAGATGAGCAATTGTTGGGCCTTCTCTTACCAGCTCTGCCAGTCTGAAATGTCACAAGCACAGTTTCTGGAAAGCACAGTCGTTCTGGCCACTGAGTGGGACCACTAGAACTAAAACCAGACTCTTAAAGTTTGTGTGAAAAATGTTTGTCTATGTGATTTTGTTTACAAATGCCCCCTTCCTTCGTTGTTTCTCTGCTACAGTGTCTATCCTGCTCGAACCATCAGTGATCTTATTTTCTCACCTGTAAGGACATGGAGCCGCACCTTTGCTCTCTTCATTAGCTTTCTGTCCTTTAGTTCCAGTTTGTTTTATTCTTTTTCTTTCTTGTTAGACATTTCATTGTACAGTGGATGGTATTGTACATCCAAGAATCAGGGATCATAAGGGTGAGGTGTACCAGCTTAGTGTGTGTAGATGTCAGCCCACCTTTCTTCAGAAATCCACAAGTGTTCAGTCTGCAGTTCCTTATCCCAGATGGGTCAATGCAGAAAAGAGTTTCAGGCTTAGCCAGTATAAAGCAGTGTTGGGTTTTACTTATGTGTGTTTTGGTTTTTAATAGGAAGAAAGGGTCTGGCAAGATGTCTCAGCGAGTAGGGGTACTTGACTCCAATTCTGACAATTCAAGTTGTATTTCTAGAACCCATATGATAGAATGAGAGACCCAACTTCTCTAAGCTGTCCTATGACCTCTACACATCATCCACATATCCACACATGAACACAATCAATCAACAACTAATTTTAAAACTTTAAGGTAAATCACTCAAGAAATACATCCGTGCACAGACAAGAGCATGGTATCAGCTTCTCCAGGGGCAGCCACCATTCAGTAAGACATCCTTCTTATAGTTATTTAATTTAGTTTATGTTGTGGGTATTTTATCTGCATGTATGTCTGTGTACTACATTTATGCAGTACCTACATAGGCCAGAGGATGGTGTCAGATTTCCTAAAGCCAGAGTCACATTTGTTAGCTGCCCTGTGCTAGGAATTGAACTCTGGTTCTTTGGAAGAGTCACTGGTGCTCTTAACCAATGAGTCATCACCAAGCCTATATTTTAGCACACTAAGTGAAGAGAAGGAAAGACCTTCAGTGAAAGAAGTCCCTATCTAAGAAGGTATGGGCTCCACATGGGAGTCCCAATCGAGTGTCTGCACATTGACCACAATGGTAATCCTGGAAGATCTAAGTTCACTCTCCAGAGCTTAATAAGAAACTATTTTTAAGTGGGTGGTGGTGGCACATACTTTTAATTTGAGCACTCGGGAGGCAGAAGCAAACAGATCTCTGTTATTTCATCAAGACCAATCTTGTCTACAAGAGCTAGTTCCATGACAGACTCCAAAGCGACAGAGAAACCCCGTCTCAAAAAACAAACAGACAAACAATTTTCTTTCCTTTTGATACGTGAGATTAGAGGATGCTCTGAATAAGGTACCTTAGATGGGATTGTAATATTTATAATATGATGAGGGGAAACCAGAAATCACTCTCATTGTCAAGAGTTTCCTGGTGAGACTCCTAAGTGGAGGTTCATGCCTGAGAAGGGAGAGAAGGCTTTAGTGTTGATTGTGCTGGGACTCTGTTCTCAGCTGGCATAGGGGTTCAGTCAGCCTTCTGGGTGAGAATTTCTTCGCCTCCCTGTGTCCCCAGGTTTTGTTCTATCTTTCCTGCCCATGCTCAGTATTCTGAATTTCACTGTTTAGAAACTGTGCTTTCAATATGTGTCCCACCTCCGCTCTACAGCACAGCCTCTGCCCATGTGTTCACAGCTTTCTGGTGTAAAGATAAAAACTGTTCACTTAATTCCTAGACATTTTACTGCTTCTCATAGAAACCCAAACTGATGCACTTGTTTTCACTTCTACACTGCACCACTGTCCTCAGAAGGCCTGACTGCCTTCGTTCCAGAAAACTCTCTAAGATTCTAAAACGGAGTGGCCGGTATTCTTTAAGTTTCATCTTCACACTAAATCATAAAGTACACGGTTGAGTATGAGCTGTGCTATCTAAAGGAAATCAGGACTGTTTTAGAGATGTTTCCTTCAGTTCTTAGGATGGGGCACAGATAAAGGGCAGGCATTTTAATATCCATGTTCCATTCCTCTAGTTGCTTATTTAAATATATTTTACTTAATTCAATTGTATGTGTGAAAATTATAGGGTACATACATGCACACACTCACACATGCACAGACATGTGTATATGTATGTGTCTGTATAATTCAACTTTGTGCTTACTGTGTCCAACACAGTTTATCAAAGCTCAGGGGCACCTATGAGGACTCCTTGATAATCCTAAGAGAATCTCTGTTCTTCCTTTATCACCCCTTTAGCACATAGTGCTTCTGTTCAAATTTCTGTTAGCATGGATGATACCAGATGTTCCAAAGGATGTCATAGAGAAAATCAAACGAGAAAAGTTAATGACTGTCAAAATTATCCATGACTTCGAGCTCAACAAGTTGAAAGAAAACTTGGATTTTACATACAGTAACATCATGAGGGATGACACAGTGAAAGACAATATATCCCTGGGGGAAAATTCCTCTGTCTAATCCACATGCAAGGTGAGAAGCTCTGTACCCTGCTCTGTTCATTGTTGCCTCTGGGTTTCTGGCTGGATGTTGGAATCCATATATCCATTTGTTTTACTTTCTTCCTTTTACTTTTAACTCAGAGACTTTATGCCCTTTGCTAGGCGCTGACATCAGACTTGGAGTCCTGAAGACAGTTGCAGGTGGTGCCACTGGATGCAGAGTCTGGGAAATCACGAAGTATTTCCTCTTAGAGTGAAATCCTGGCCTTGGGATGCTTGGTCACTTCCCAGAGCAACTGTGCATCTCTGCTCTCTTCTGTTGAGTGCTCCGTCACCCTCCCAACAAGAAAAGGATCACATTGAAGAGTAAGCTAGCAAAGAGATCTGCCATCTCATAGAACATTTGCCTTTCTAAAATGCACACATTAAAAACTGAAATCAGATGTCTTGAGAAATCTCACTTATTGACAAATGTTGAGTAAAAATTATAGTAGAACTGTGCTCTTGACCATGTCAAGTGAAAGTTAACTTCTGTCAGAATCCCAGATAGCCTTTCCAGGTAAAGGTAGAATCAATTTTTCCAGGAGACTAAAAGAATTTTCACAAAAGACTCTCAGAGGGCTTTTAAAGGTAATGTTTCCATTTTGTTAACTAACTTCCACACCATGGAGTCAGGTGACTACAGGCTTCCAAGGGAAGGAACTCTGCAAAGCCCAAGTGTCTTCTTTGGAGATAAAGAGTGCAAGACGGTGTGCTCACTTCAGCAGCACATATACTAAATTGGAATGATACAGAGAAGATTAGCATGGTCCCTAAAAAAGAAAAAAAGAATGCAAGACAGTCCATAGACATTATATAAAGTGAAACTCTTCAATTTTTTTGAAATGCTGATTTTTGCATCATGAAGCCTTTTTTGAGATCTAACTATTTGTATAAGTTGGGCCCAAACTATTTACAAATTGTGATTTCTTCACTCTGAAGAAACTCCAGATCTTGTAATAAGTTTACAGTCTTTTCATGGGCAACCTTGCCCCCACAATGTCCAGTGCCTTCTTTCTCTGCCTTTGACACATAAGACATGGTCACTCATTGCAGGTTCAAAACCAACTCAAGCACCGAGTGTCTAAAGTCATGGTAGACATTAACAAAATTGGAATTTATTCTATTACAAGTGCTTCTTAGGATTTATCTGTGTTTTCCCTTCATATTTGCCTTGGAATTTTTCACTGAGCACTTTCTTCCTGCCTCATATTTTACCCTGAGATACCAGAGTAACTTTCTAAAAAGTCTTCTAGCCAAAATCAGATGGAATTTGCCCAGGTGGATTTGCCTCATTTCACCAAAACACTGGTTGGTGTGAGAATGCTTAGTTAGATGCACCTGAGCACCGGATGTATGTTCATGTTTAAAAGTATGGCTGTGGGGCTGGAGAGATGGCTCAGAGGTTAAGAGCATTGCCTGCTCTTCCAAAGGTCCTGAGTTCAATTCCCAGCAACCACATGGTGACTCACAACCATCTGTAATGGGGTCTGGTGTCCTCTTCTGGCCTGCAGGCATACACACAGACAGAATATTGTATACATAATAAATAAATAAATATTTTTAAAAAATAATAAAAGTATGTCTGTGATTCTTTTTTCTTTCAGTAAAACAAGCAGTTTACTATTTTCTACTGATATTCCAGGGAACAAGTAAGATCTTATGTGAAAATAGAATCCTCAAGTGCCAAAGGCCCAAACCACGCAACTCTTTTCAAAGGTCCTTTGCGATCATCATCTTCATTGTTTCTTTTCACACAGAAAACAAATCCTTCAAGTCACACTGACTTTAGACATCAAGAGGGGCCTTCAATTAGATAAAAGATGTGTTAATTTTGCAGTGTTTCTGGACTCTTTTTTATTTTGTCAAGAGAGGGCGGGGGGAGAGGGAGAGAGAAAGAGAGAACTGTTTCTTCTGAAACTCAGGTAAGATTCACTGGGGTGCAGCTGTGGGTAGGAAGATGCAAATCTCAACTCAGTGCCAGTTACTAATGGTGAGAGAATATATCTTGAGAAATTTCAGGTTGACAATATTTATATGTCCAAGGAAAGCCTTTGAATTATGATCATAGGATCAGGCACTGTGAATAATCATTGGCAATACTGGTCATTCAAAAACATAACCTATTGTTTTGGACAAACCTCTCATAGTTATTATATAATAGAACGATGTCGTGAAGGAAAATGTTAAATTGCTAGACTTTGGAACTCTGTCACAATAAATCAATAAAACTATCATGTTACTGTTCTTCCTGAAATTTCAATCTACTTTTCTGTGTAGTAATTAAAATATGTCAATTATTTCAGAATTATGTAAAAATTAGTGACAATGTTTAAAACATACTGTATAGTATGGTGTAATCTGTGTAAGATACAACTGTCCGTCCCTCTAAATATGTCATTGGAAACAAGATGTAAGTCTCCTGCTATCAGGTGCTGTATCCTGAGGTCAGCTCAGAGTATACAAGCTTGCTTTTCCCTCCATTTCTCCCTCCTTCTGTCCCTCCCTCCTATTTTCCCTTCCATCCTTCTTTCCCTCCTTACCTTTCTCCCTCATTCCTTCCTTTGCTCTTTGCTCCCTTATTTCCTTCTTTTCTTTCTTAAAGGGAGTACACAGGTATTAGGGAAAATTGTCTTTAGTTATGCATCCGAATCTCAAAAACCAAATCACTCGGTGATTAAAGCAAGTAAATAATTTCAAATTTACACTTAGTTCATTTCATGCTCTCTCTCTCTCTCTCGTGTGTGTGTGAGAGAGTGTATGTGCATGCTTTGGTTTAGAGCTGAGATAATTTCTGAAATCGAGAACTCTAGAGAAGTTTTTACATCAAATGCGTTTAAATTATTTGTTTTATTTGTATGAGTGTTTTGTTTGCATGTATTCTGTGCTCCAAGTGTATGCAGTACCCATGCAGGTCAGAAAAGCGCCTCCACCAAGACACTTCATAAGACATCTGAACACATTCATAAAAGCAATTGCATCACATTATTAAAATTTGAATCAAAGCTACAAGTAGGTGTACAGTCATTGGGTATATTATTTTCAACTCTTTGTATTTGAAGACTGTCAAATAAAAGTTGGTTAGAAAAGTTTTTAAGTATCCCACCTATTCAGCATGTTTATTTATACCTAGAACAAAAAGGAACACGAGAAGAGCTGGGTGATAGTGGCACACGCCTCTTAATCAGCACTTGAGAGGCAGAGGTAGGGGGCTGTCTGTGAGTTCAAGGCCAACTTCCTCTAGAGATTGAATTCCAATACAGTGGGGGCTACACAGATAAACTCCATTGAAAAACAAAATGAAAAAGAAAGAGAAAAAAAACAAGAAAAACAAAACACGAGAAGAAAGTCTACCAAGTCCATAAATAGAAAAGAGAACTTGTGTTTGTATCTAAATCTACAAATTCACAGAACGCACGGGTGTCTGAGGATCCTGTTAAAGGAGACAAAATCACCAATATTCAGACTGTAAGATCTCCACTGGGATAACAACCGGTTTTCCTTTGCAAATGAACTGGGGGCAAAAAGAGATGAAGGAGAATCCTCCAGTTAGAGCAGCTGAGGAGACAACACTCACTTGTGCCTTCTCTGTGGATTCCGATTTCACCCATCCATGAAGAACAAGTCGACAGATAACCAGAGCAGGCTGGGAGCCAGTGACCCCGTACTCTGAATCCCGGACCATTTCTAATGTTTCTCTACCAACATAGTATTTTTATTAACTATTTAGGAATTTCATACATCATATCCCTATTACACTCATTTCCCATTGCTCCCAGGTCAGCCCACCCTCCCACACTTTCACCCTCAAAAAGAGAGAGAGAGAGAGAGAGAGAGAGAGAGGAGAGAGACTCAGACCATCTTCCCCCAAAATGTCCAATTGCTATCACACATTTTTTGTTTTTTGTGTGGCATCACTTGGATTTTTGAGAGTGCATTTATTTCAGAGGTACTTTCTGAAAAGGCATGGTGCCTGAGATCTTCTTCATATAATCCTGGATGAAAAAGGTAAGGGAATTCTGTTTGTTTTGAAAGTTGATGCTTCAAATTCCAAAGTAAGCATACTCCCAACACATACATGCACACACGCATTCACACATATAGACACACAGACATATACACACACATGCAGCATACCATCAGCTGAGTAATCTCATATCGTAAAGTTGACCATAATAATACTCTTATGTTCAGAAATACAATTTCTGAGCTATGGAAAGAAAAGTGATATTGAGCAAATAAATGAAATGACAACCATATTCATTTTAAATGTTTTGAAAAGCAATGCAATTCTCTACAAATTAATGGGGTGATAATGGTCTTTTCTTGTTGAAAAAAATAAATCTGTACAGTAGCCATACTTACAGTGTGTAGTAAACATAAGTGTACATGAGCTCCCAACTTAATTCCCACTGCAGAGATAAACAACAGTTTGTTGCTGTCCCGCGCTACTATCTTGCCAGCAAGAACGACGCAGGGCACGTAGGATCCTTCTGCAGAACAGCTTTTTAATGCATCTTGAGAGCGAGAGCATAAGCTGACATGGCGGAGACCCAGAGCGAGGCGAACCCAGCCCTTATATAGGAAACAGTCCCCGCCTTGGACGTGTCACTCTCAGATTGGTCAGCTGCCCATCATCCCAGATGACGCCTCGGGAGAGGCAGGGACTACAGCGTTGGAAATTTACCAACGCATGCGCGTTATCCTGTTCACCGGGCGGTGGAACCGGATGTCAGCGCCATCTTGGAATGGCGAATGTGGTTGCGGTCCTCTACATCTCCCCCCCTTTTTTTTTTACTTCATTGCAGAAAGGCAATTCCCTCAGAAGGCAAAGATAGAGGTCGCACTTCCCAAAGTGGAAACATTATAATGGGCTTGCACGGAATCTGCCCCTAGGTTCATGACACCTGGAACTCATCCGGCCTGCCCTCTGCCATTTTTCTGGGAAAGGGAATATACGGCAGGAAACCCTTATGCAGGGCGACATATCTCTCAGAGAGGGCCATTCTCTGTGTGATGCTCTTTAGCTCGACAACCTTCAGGGCTAGCTAAGCCAAGCATTCCACCCTGTGCAATGGACAGAGGTGTCCTAGGGGTGCAGGAGCTGGTTGGCATAAACCTTACTGCTTCAGCATAGATAACCACATCAGTAGAGGTTCCCTGTTCCAGGGCAGCCAGCGCTTGTGCAATAACCACACTTTGTCCCTATGACTTTGGGATTTGAGTCAGCAGACCATCCAGAGGAGAAACACTGATCCACAGCATAGGGCTGTTTCAAACATTCCCACCCCCACCCAATCTTAAAGTAGGAGATGAAGGACACAACCCAGGATTGGAATCCTTCAGCTAAGTTTATAAATAGAAGGTAGGGGAGCCCCAGAGTCTTATTGGTTGTAAAATAAAAAAAAAAAAAAAACGAGGAAACACTGCCACTCTATGGCTGACTGGTGTCGGTTTCAGGAAGGCTGAGAGTATCCCCCATCGCTGTTCCTTCGTAACCTGCTCCTTTGTAACCGTTGTCATCCATCCGCAAAATGGTAGGAGGAACAGAAGCCAAATCTTCAGGCGAGTCCGCGTGTTGTGGGTCACCCCTCACCGTTCGGGTCAGTCTTTCTGGCACCCAGAATGGATTTTCCTGGTCCTGCGGGAACACACAAACAGCTCCCCTGGATCTCAACAGGATGGGATCCGGGCCTTTCCATTCATTAGAAAACACATCTTTCCATAGAACCAAATCCTTGGGCCGCTGCGGATCCGAACTATGTCGTGTTGCAGCATTCTGGCCATTATCATCCAGATTTAAAAAATTTATAGT